AAAATATATGAAACAACATTCATTCCCATTTAATGACTCTGAACTGCATCGAGGCTTCATCGCACTCATGGAGAGAGCTGACATTAAGTTAATTCACTTTGTTTTGACATTTTGTGTTTCAGTCATTAACAGATGCTCTTCTCCGGAGAGACCGACGCCGATTCAGAAAAGCTGTTTGATATCTTTAACAACACGAAAAACATAATAATTGGTCGGCTAATTGAAACACATTATGTTGTAGGAATTAAAATGTGATCTTTGGGGTTTTTTTTAAAGCAATTACTACCCAGAATATTCAAGCAGTGGCTTCATTTTGGATATAACATCTTAAAGCACATTAATCAGTCGTGTCTGTGCTTCTTCAGTCTATAATGTTCGATAGATATTCATCTGGTGAGCTCTGACTTCACCATTGTTAGGTCCAAAATTGTGTTTTATTATCAAATACCTGCAGAACTAATTCCCATCAGCCTCAGCTCTACTTCATCATCTAGCTAACACGCCGAACTAAGATGGTGAACTTGAACATTATAGCTGCTGAACATTAGCACGTGCGCATGTGAGCTAATAATTTAATTATTAATTCTCACTGTTTTACTGATTCTCAAGTGTTGAAGAGCTGCAAGTTCAGTGATGTTTCTGTCTGTCTCTTCCTGCTGTAATGAATTTATATAATAAACTGTACAGTATTGATGCCTGTAGAGGGCTGATCTGGAACAAGTCATATGGGCACAAATGTTTCATCTACTTGGAGAGAAAAGCTGCAGCTGTACCACAAAAAAAAACCCAAATAGAAATTATAATTTATTTTCATGGCACAGGGCTCCATGTGAATAAAAATGTGAGTGTAGTGTAGTGAACTGCAGGCGGAGAGTGCACTTTATGTAAGCTACAGAAGGTGACAGTTCAGGCAAAGTGCTGAAAAAGGCAAGTGTTTGAGGAGGAGGAGGCAATAAAAAACAGAAAAGGGTTGTGATACAGTGTGGGGTTTTTTTTTTAACACCAAACTTGCTGTGGGGGGGGGGGGGGG